ATATATATATATATATATATAGGCTCTATATAAACTAGGCTACTGGTATTCAATGAATATGTATATATAAACTAGGCCAGTGGTATTCAATGAACACTTGTATGAATCTTCAAATATTTTCAATATCTGTTTGTTGTTTTGGCTTCTTTAGTTATTATAGAATGTTTACAAAACTAATGAAATATAAAGGAAAATGATAAAACTTATCTGACCCACGCATTGTTTCATCAAAAAACACGATATGGCATAAATACAGGTAAAATATTTTCAACCTGATTATATGTATAAAATTGTTGAGTGGTACAATGTGTCAAATTTAAAAGGTTCTAGATCTATTTGTTCTGCCATTGTCTGGTTTTAAAAGTTGGTCATTATATTTATATTTTTGCTAAAAATTACCCAATAATTATAATTGATCAAAATCATGTTTTTTTTACAAGTCTTTATTTTTTTTTTTTTTAAGGGGGGGGGGGGGGGGTTTAGAAAAAAAAAAACTNGGGTAAGGTAGATTTAGTAAAAAAACAACTCCCAAATTTCAACTAACCTGCCCTTTAATAGCCAAAAGTTTCCTTAATATTTGAATGATTTAAACACACTGAGCTGGACTGGTCATGACATATTTGACTGATATAGACTATTTAAGATCTATCTGTCATAGCTAGACTATTTGAGATAAATGACACAAAGCTTTACAATGTTTAAAGACATGTCACTTAGCTTTAAAAGTCAAGACTTATATGACATAACTAGATTAGTACAGGCAATATGACTTTTTCTTACATAGATGAAATATTTAAGATATGAACTCACAAAGAATTGTGGGTAATTTTAGAGTTAAACAAAGTTTATTTAAAAAATATGGTATTAAAACTTCCCTGTTTTATATCATTTGCCTTACACTGTTATGCTATGGTAGCATCAAAGATAAGTTATATGGAAGGGCTGGGTAATATCAGCTTCTACAGAGCCACCTTAGCCCCACAACATGAGTTAAGACAAGATTGAAACCCTACATTGCTAATGTATATATTAACACATTAAAAATCATGAAATAAAAAAAGAGTTTATTATAATAAGAGATAAAATACTGATTCAAATTGTATCAAAAAGATAATCTAATTATGTCTTTAAAATCACTCGGAGAAAAAGTGAATTTTCTCTAATCTTATAACAAATGCATGTGACTCATGTGTCAATAAGTCGTAATAAGGAAATATACAATGTGTAAATATGTATTGATGGTAAGAAGTTACGCATTTGTTTTTTGTGTAGGTAAATTGGTATGGCTGAAAAGCAATCGTTGTAAAATTGTATGTATGGATCTAATATTTAGTTATACTCAACTTTACTTATTCTTCTTATGCACAGCACTCTATTTATTCTAAAAGTACACACTTCTACTTATTCTTCTTCACACCACAAGGGATTCTGGTAGCGAAGATGAAGGGTTTTTGCAGGTGTTAAGGGTGAGTGTGTATCAGAGTTCAGAATAGTTTTAGTTGACTCCTCAACACATATAGGCCTAATTAAGGATATCCGAAAAAGCAAGAATTTCTGATGCATTTCAAGTTTTCTCAAAGTCTGATAACAAATTTTTGTTCCACTATATCACATTCACTACAGTTCAGTGACGTGTGCGAGGACCCTGACCTTGTACTTTTTTTATTTAACCTGACAAGAATGATAGTTTATAGATGCGATTTGTATGACTGATTTGATTATTTGTTCTTAAATTCTATCATCCTGGAGATAATAACAGCTGGAGCCTCTCTTATTCAGTTTTATATATTTTAATTTTTTTTAAATAATTCTATTTATAATAAATCAAGATTCATCTTAATAATAATAAATATCATTTTAATAACTATGAAACCATTTTTTTTTCTTAAATATGTAGGTCTATTAATAAGATTTTAAATCACTGGGATATAGATTGTAAAGCTTTCAGGTACCGGTCTTATTATTTTATGGTGTTACATATATTATTATTATGTTAATAATCTTGTTTGTTATCGTTTACCTTTTTTTAGTACATGGAAATTGTACTAAACTAACTTTTATATAAATCAGCAAGTCTTGATGCCTTGACATAGGTGTTCATAAAGATTTTTTTTTAAAAATTATCTCTCAAACTATTTTTTAAATCAAAATTTCATTAAGTTCTGCTTAACTTATGAGGCGCTTTTCTAGACCTAAGCAAAATCAATGTAAATCTTAGTCTAATATAAATCTTAGTCTAGCAACACATATTTTTAATATCCTATATTTTTTTACAGATCCTTGATTTATGAATACTAAAATTACAAGAATAATAAAGAAAGATAGATGCCAAAAAAAGATGAAATACCCTTTTAAAAAATGATATGGATATATTGGAAATAAAATAAAAAATGTTTCTTTCTTTTTCTTTTTTTTTTTGTTTAAACTTATAATATAAGTATTTATGACAGTGTTACAGAAATTTATTTTTTAATTGCCTTTTTTCTATAAAAAAAAAAAAAAAAAAAATAAAAAAAAAAAATAAAATAACTTTTTAAAAAATAATATTATTATTTTTTAAATAAAATTAAAAATTTTTTTTTTTTTTTTTTTTTTTTTTTTTTGTTTAAACTTATAATATAAGTATTTATGACAGTGTTACAGAAATTTATTTTTTAATTGCCTTTTTTCTATAAAAAAAAAAGTGATTTTTCTGAAACTTTATTTTTTATCTCAATTTTTTTTAACGCAATTTTGAAAAATGAATAGACTAGATGTCACAGTACAAAACGGCCAATAAAACAATCACCGAGTGCGGATCTTCAACTGAAAGATTTTTTAAAAATTGTGTG